GATGGGTTGCCTCCTCCATGCCCTCCAACCAGGGCCAGGAGCAAGCCTACAACCGAGGTCGGTGCCCTTGACTGGAATTGAAACCGGGACCCTTCGGTCTGCGGGCCAACGCGCTATCCACTGAGCCACACCGGCTAAGGCAGACACTCTATTTTTTTTAGGAGCAAGACGAATAACTCTCGTGACTTAGACCTCTTAACCTTTAGAAATACAGAGCTGCACGTCCGAATACTATCAACGCACGGTGACTGAAGACCATCACTCCTCCCCTCTCTACCACACGGCGAAATAAGGCACATCCGACTGTAGGGAAGGACTGTGAGTCCGTCTAAGACAGCGGTTCTCAACTTTCCTCACGCCGCGACCCTTTCATACAGTTCCCCATGTTGTGGTGACCCCCAATTTCATGGTGACAAATGGAACATCATTCAAGCATCGTGATTCATCACAAAAACAATATGTAATTATAGATGTGTTTTCCGATGTTCTTAGGCGACCCCTGTGAAAGGGTCGTTTGACCCCCAAAGGGGTCGCGACCCACAGGTTGAGAACCGCTGGTGAGCTCATTATAAGTCGCCGTGAACAATGTCTGAAGGGCACCTAGGACATAGACAGGGGTACGCATGCCACTGACGCAGGGGGTTCGTCTGCATTCGCAACGTGAACACACCACGTCCTAAAGCGGGGCTCCAGCGTGTGAAAGTGATGACACTCTCACCTACATCATGCAGGGTCCCTGCTTCCATTCACGGAGCCGGCGTGCTCAGGGGTTGAACCAGGTGAGCGTCAACCTATGAACCAGGAGGTCAGGGTTCGATTCCCGCTCAGGGCACAGGCCCGGGTTGTGGGCTCCATCCCCAGAGGGGGGTGTGCAGGAGGCAGCCGATCCATGGTTCTCTCTCATCATGGATGTTTCTCTCTCTCTCTCTCTCTCTCTCCCTCTCCCTTCCTCTCTAAAATCGCTGAAAAAAAAAAGGGGAGGGGGAAGACCTAGCTGGTGTGGCTCAGTGGGTACAGCGTCAGCCCTCAGACTGAAGGGTCCCTAGTTCGATTCCGGTCGAGGACACGTACCTCGGTTCCAGTTTCCCAGGCCCTGGTCAGGGACATGCAGGAGGCAACCAATGGCTGTGTCTCTCTCACATCGATGCTTCTCTCTGTCTCTCCCTCTCCCTTCCACTCTCTCTAGAAATCAATGGGAAAATAGCCTCAGGTGAGGATTAACCAAAAAAAAAAAAAAAGGCCAAATGGAGCCATCTAATCTAATAAAAGAGAAACATGCAAATTGACCATACCTCTGGTGCACCCACAAGCCACGCCCACAAGCCAATCAGGAGCAAATATGCAAATTAACCCAACTAAGATGGCGGCGGCCACGGAGCTGGAGTGAGCAGGAGGCTTGGGTTGTCCCCGGCGATGGAGGAAGCCAAGCTTCCCGGCTGCCCTGCTGGCCCTGAGCTCCATTCAAGGCTACAAAGTTTCAATTATAGAAGATAAATAAATCCCAGATACCTGCTTCTGGCCTGTAGCTGTGGCCAGCCTGAAAACGACCATCAGCCCCTCATCCAGGCTGGCCAGGCACCCCAGTGGGGACCCCCACCCTGATCCAGGACACCCTTCAGGCCAACCCAGCCGGCCCCCACCCGTGCACCAAGCCTCTATCCTATATGATAAAAGTCTAATATGCAAATTGTCCCCACGGGCAGGAGTCCAACCAACTGGGAGTTAGATGTGCACTGACCACCAGGGAGCGGCATGGAACATGGTGGGTGCTGGGGATGCGGTGCTGGCAGCATGCGGCAGTGGAGGTGCTGTGGGACCTGATGGGCCCCAATGAGAGCAGGACCGCAGTGGGATGGTAGAGCAGGTAAGTGGGTGGCAGCTGGACGGGGTCCCCTGCCCAGGCCTCATGCCTGGGCCAGAGGCATCAGGCCTGGGTGGCAGGTGGAGCCGGTGATCCGGAGGATATGGGGGTCCCCTGACCAGGCCTGATGCCTGGGCCAGAGGCATCAGGCTTGGGTGGGGGGCAGGCGCCCTTGAGGAGCCCGCCCCGCACCCACACAGCATCTTCCGGGTTAGCCAGGCCACAGCCGCTGGGACCGCAGGGGCTGGTCAGGCTCCCCATGGCTTCCTGCAGGAGCTGGTCTGCGAGGCGGGCTGGGAGAGAGTACAACGACTGCCTGGCTTCCATGCTGTGCCACTGGGCGGCCCAGAGGCCCACACTGCTCCCCGGCCCGCAGTGTCCAGCCACACTTACAACTTCTCCATGTGGGGACTCGGGCACTGTGACTTAGGCGGAGGCCAGTGTAGGCCCAGAGGGACAGGTGGTGCCCAGGGCCTAAAAGTCAGCTGGGACCTGCCATTTCACACGGGGAACCTGGCCCTGATCGCCGGCCAGGCCTAGGGACCCCACCTGTGCACGGATTTCATGCACCAGGCCTCTAGCTTAGAATTAATGTTAAACGTTGAGGTTTCTCTTCATGGAAGTCAGAGTTCTCCTGCAGCGTCCCCTGCAGGTGCAGGGCTGCGGGGTCTCCAGGCATCAACACTGTGGCCATGGCAAAGCTCCCTCCGCCTCCCTCTTACCCTGTGGGCAGGGGATGCCGCCCGCTCGGTAATGGTGGGTGCGTTTTGCCAGAAAACTCACATATTTGTTGGGAGGCCAGAGGGATTTTTAAAAATATATATATTTTTTTGATTGATTTCAGAGAAAAAGGGAGAGGGAGAGGGAGAGAGAGACAGGGAGAGAAATATCAATGATAAGAGAGAATCATGGATCGGCTGCCTCCTGCATGCCCCACACTGAGGATCGAGCCCGCAACCTGGGCATGTGCCCTTGGCTGGAATCGAACCCGGGACCCTTCAGTCCGCAGGCTGACGCTCTATCCACTGAGCCACGCCGGCCAGGGCTGGACAATCAGGTGTTTAAAGACGGTCAGGGGGTCTCCTGGCCACAGGCCACGTGCCCTCCCAGGGTGAGCGGCCACACTTACCTCGTACGGGACACTGGATGGTCACGTTTGCCCCCAGGGCCGCCCTCACGGTGCCTCCGACCACGACGGACAGTGGGCCGGGCCCCCGTCCTGTGACGTTCCTTCCCCGGACCAAGATGACGGGCGCCTCTTCATTTAAAGGGAACAGGAAACCATGTTAGTTCAGTTTTTTTTGTTGTTTTTTAAAAAATATATTTTGATTGATTTCAGAGAAGGGAGAGAGAAACATCCATGATGAGAGAGAATCACGGATCGGCTGCCTCCTGCACGCCCCGCACTGGGGATCCAGCCTGCAACCCGGGCCTGTGCCTTGCCCGGGAATCGAACCCTGACCTCCTGGTTCCTAGGTCGACGCTCAGCCACGGAGCCACGCCGCCCGGTCTGGGTTCGGGCTCTGGCTCTTGGGTAAACTGTGCACATTGGGACCACTGTGCCGCGCTCTCTGAGAGCCGGGATGGGTCCCCGCTGGCTCCATACCCTCATGGCAGGGAAAGACA